CTGTAGACCCTATAGACCCATACATTAAATAAATAATATATACTTGTCAGATGAAGAAATATAAGTAGCAAATAAATATACACAGAAATGTTAAACAAACTCAGTTATTATGGAGATGCAAATTGAAACAATGCTGAAATTTCATCTCACGCCAAAAAGAATGGCTAGCATCAACAAATTAACCAATAGCAAATGCTGGAGCAGTTGTGGGAAAAATGAACCCTTCTCCACTGTTGGTGTGTGTGTGGCCCAGTTCAACCACTATGCATGTAGATGACTCAGAACACTAGGATTAGAGGGCCAGTTGGCCCAGTTACTCTCCTTATATTATCCTCCAAGAAGAATTAAATATGTCATACACAGTACTCTATTTCCCTTTTGTTTAATTTATCTCCCAGTACACTTTCCTTTGGTCTTTTGGATGTTGGTGGCCTCTCTGTCTCTGGCTGAAACAGCATGGTGGTGCACACCTGTAATCCCAGTGCTTGGGAGGCTGTAAACAGGAGGATCATTACCAGTCTGATCTGTGTAATGAGACCCTGTAGAGCCTATAGACGTATACATAAAAAATAAATAAATAATGAGTACGTATTTGTCAGATGAAATACAAGTAGCAAAGAAATGTACACAGAAATGTTGAGCTCTCTGAGGAGTACTGCACTGAGTATGTCCTCCAACGCTTGCTTCGTGGTTATCTGTCTTCAAGTTTCTTTGTCCTGGTAAGTCTTTACCTCTCCATCAATTTTGAAGCCTAATTCTGCAAGATATAGAAGTTCAGGTTGACACTTACTTTCTATTAAGGCTTGAAAAAATACATTCTGCTTCCTCCTGGCATTGCATGTCTGTTCTGGGAAATTTGTTATAAATCTGAAAGGCTTCCCTTTGTAAGTAACGTACTTCTTTGCTACAACAGCATTTATTATCTTCTCCTGAGGTCAAATTTGTGGAATTTTGATGATGACATAGTAGAAGTCCTTTCATAGTTCTGGTTATATGAAGTTTTATATTTCTTTTTCACTGAGATACTGAGTTCTTTTTATTTTTTAAATTAGCACCTACTTTTACATAATTATTACTATCGTCATGTGGAGTTGGTTCATACAAATAATAAATCTTAATTCTTGAATTCTTTCATTAGATTTGGAAGCCTGGGTATAAATTCAGTGCATAAATTTTTCATACCTTTAGAATCTTCTATTTTTTCCCTCCAATTCTGGTATTTTTAGTCATCAGCTCGTCAATACATCTTTCACCATGTCTTGTCCTGTTTATGATATGACTGAATTTACAATGTACCACGTCCACTTGTCCTCAATTTCTGATATTCTGCCAGAATATTGGCACCTCGGCTACCCATTAATTCTATTGATTTTTTTTCATATTTTGTATTTCTGTGTGCTTCCTTTTCACAATTTTTAATTCTTTCTAAATTGGTCACTCATCTCTTCTTTTATATTTCTTAAGTCAATTTGTTAAACATTAAGTTTTTTAAATTTGTTGAACAATTTATTAGGGAAATTCCTCATCAATCTAATAAAATCTTCTTTAGTAAGTATTCCTTAATCTCAATAAAGGTCTTGTGAGTTATCCTATGTGCTTCTTCTTTGGGCTCTTACAATGCATTGACCATTTCTTTTTGAGTTCTCCTAACTTCCTCTACCTTAGCCTCTGTGAGATCTGCTTTTGGGGGGCTAAGGCTCCGTTTCTGTGAAAAAAAAAAAAAGAAAAGAAAAGCAAGTTTAATTAGGATATATACACTGTTTCGTTGCTGACCTCCCTTCAGTTAGAAGCAGTTTCTCTGTCATTTCTGCTGTTGGTTGAGATGGTCTCGCTTTGTAGAGCAAGCTGGCTTTGAACTCAGCGCATAGCCCCCAGTGCCTTTTAGTTCACAGCGAGCTTTCTGTCTCAGCCTCCTGAGCGCTGCGATTACACACGTGCCGCCATGCCTGCCCCTGTTATGTGCTTTTGTGTTTGGTGATATTTAGGCGTTTGTACCTCTATTCAACCTACTCACTGTGATATTTGAGGTTCAGATGAGCGTCCACATTTCTTCTGGTGACTTCCTCCCTAGTACCACACGTGGAGGAAAGAAAAGAACTGCAGTGACGTTGATGACATGGGTGCAAACCAGAGACGGATGCTTAGCAAATCCAATTACTGGCAGCAGTAGCAGGGCCACCACTGGCCACAGCAAAGCAGTCAACTTCTGTGAAAGCCTAACCAGGTACTGATACACAACCAGAAGCAGAAACCTCCATTGTGCCACCTTTCACAATTGAAATGCTATCTGCAATTAAAGACACTAACACAAGTGAAATATTCATATATACTAAATATCTATTAAATGTGACAACGACGCCACCATTAACAATAGACAAGAATTCAGCAATCATATCACAGAATCAACTACATACGTGAAAATCTGTAAAGCTTAAGAGAGATGTCGGCCCTGCCCCCGGGGCGTGCTGAGATGGGCAATTGAGACCGGGCGTGGTGGTGTGCGCCTGTAATCCAGCTCTTGGGAGGCTGCAAGCAAGCAGATCACTATGAGTCGATCTAGTATTGAGACCCTGAACACCTTGAGACCCTTCCCTAAAATACAAAAAAAAAAAGAATGATGCTAATGTAAAGGGAACCAGGTCCTGTGGCACAGGGGCCTGGCAGACCTTGCGCGCAGCTGTTACTCCGCGACGTCTCACTCCTTCCCACAATAACCCTTTCCCATGTTGGCTCCTTTACATATGGCGGCCTGCAGGGCCTTTGTTCTGTGACATTAGCTGGTGATGTTGAAGGACTCAGTTTTAGAGTAAACTCCTGCATGTTTTTGCAGTTTATTAGTAACAGCGGGCTTTTCTTGGGGCTAACAGCAATGGCTTGCTCTATCCATTTTTCTTGGAGGGCCCAACCCTCCTGGAGTTTACCTTGTATTTTCCAAGACAGGTTTCCCTCCCCGCGAGCCAGGGTTACTGTTGTTGTGTTGCTGTCTTCAGTTCCTCTAGATTCCCCATGGTCTCTAAATGCTTTCTGTTTAGTTTTTCTTGAATCCTGGAGCTCTTCTTTTTCTTTTCGCTAAATTCTTGTTTTCCAAGTGCTGACTTGCTGCTCCCGGACACGCTGCTGTGTGGCTGCGTCTACTGTTCCTTTCTTTTGCCATCCCCTTCGGTGGGCATCATTGTCTCCACTCTGTCGATAGAGTAATCCAGGCTCCGAGACCTGCAGCGACCCGAGAGGACTGAGCTGAGACGGCCACGGCGGATCTGCACCTCATGGGCCTGGATCTGCTATTCGCTTGGGTAGAAGTCGAACTCAGAGCACAGGCAGAGAGCACTGATGGGATGGAGTGGTTCTGAGAAGGGCGGGAGTTTGGGAGAAATCTTTTGCACAATATTGAGTCACCCATGACTTTTGTTTGGAATCAATTTATTCCTTAGGAATAAATTGTGAAAATGCATTCTGAAACTAATCACAGAAAAGTACGGTTTTATTTTTCTAGTTCAAAAACCTAGCTTTACAAAGATTATTTCTCAACATTCAATCAAAAAATGTACTTAATTTAGCATTTGATATGCTAAGCTGAAAATTTCCTTTGTTTGCAAATATTGAAAACATTGTTTTCCTAAGTATTCAATTTCAAATAAGAAAATTCTCCCCTCATCCATCCACCACTCACTCACACTTCACACATGTGAGATGGTATGTTAGAGATCGCTTTCAGGTTATAGATAGCTTTACGTTTTCTTGTTGTCAATGTAATAAAAGCTTACTGTAAAAGTTTGCATAGCAAATCATTGGGATAAGGATGTAAAAATAACCTATAATAACAGTTCCCAAATAAAGTTCTTATTAGTTTTCTTGGCATACCTTTGAATAATGATAATTTGACCTTCTCTTTTTGGCTTTAAAAATAATGGAATTGGGAGACCTTATGTTAATAAAAATAAGTCATGCACAGGAAGGCAAGTGCCACATGATCTGACACATATGCACAATATAAAAAAAAGATCGTGTAGAAATTGATAATAGACTAGTGATTACTAGAAGCTGGGTTAATTAGAGAGGAGAAAAGGATAGGGAAGTGTGGTCTGTGGATACTAAGCTAGAGTTAGATAACATAAGTAAGTTCAGATGCCCTATTGTACAGTAGAATCCCTATAGAAAATTGATCATTTAAAAATTGATCTTTGAGAAATTATTCTCAATGTTTTTATTCTAACAAAATGATAATTATTTTCAGGGATTGATATGCTTTCTCTAATTTAAACATTATGCAATGTACTCATGTATCGAAATACTGCATGATACCCCCTAAATCTGTACAATTTTTACTAATTGACTAAAAGTATCTCTTGTTAGAACAAATGCAAAAACTAACAATAAATGAGTAAAAGACACTGCCATCAAAGCACCAGGCAGAAAAGACAAAGACACAATGGGTCTACTTCCCCGATGAAAAGCCGAGCTTTCCTTTATGAGTATTCTTTCATTCCTAACCCAGAAGGAGAGTCAGAATCCTCAGTACAAGATTCTGAAAAGCTTGAACTATTCAACCCTAGTGGGCATCGTAAACTATACCTCTTTTTTCTCCTGCCTTGATGAGGAGATCAAATGGTTCCAACTGTCAGAAGCAAATTAATAAGCAGGATAAATCATGAAAAGTTATTATAAACCAGATGCCTGACATGATAAGCCTGACACAGGCATTGGTGGTATCCTCACCCTGTCCCCTCCAGCAAAGTCTGACATGTCACTAATGAGGGTTTTTTTTTTTTTTTTTCTAGCCTGATGATCAATTCATTTTTACTCACTGTGGGATAGTTGCTCGTAAATGAGTAATTCTTCTGAGTCTAATTAAGTCAAGTCTAGCCTATACATTTCCTGTTGAGTTGGGGCCTTTCTGACCTCCAGAACATTCATGTAAATTGGACGGCCAGTAAGGCAGGGAACAGAAAGAGTAAATCATGCAGATTTATACTAATTTTTGTTTCCCTCCTCCCTCTCAGAATCAGATGTTGCTGACTTTGATGGCCGAAGCTCGCTTCTATACAGGTTCAATCAGAAGCTGATGAGTACTCTCAAAGACGTGATCTCCCTGAAGTTCAAGAGCATGCAAGGAGACGGAGTCTTGTTCCATGGAGAAGGCCAACGTGGGGACCACATCACCTTGGAGCTCCAGAAGGGGAGGCTTAGCCTGTACCTGAATCTGGGTAGGCTCAGGCCCTGCCCATTCCATCCCTGGGTGGGGCAACAGAGTACTGAATTCTTCAGGAGACCGTAGGCGTATTCCCTGGTGCCTCTGATGTGTCCGATGCAAAGCATGCATATGTATGATACCTTTCCTTCATCTGCGTGGGCACAGAAAACTACCAGGGTTTGCAGTGTTTATAGTAATGCTATATATAGAAGCTTCAAGCTTGTTACTAGGCATTTACTTGAATAGCTACACACTCATCTGTTTATCTTTAATAATTGTTTTAGCAATTCAAATTCTAAAGGAACTTTAGCAAGTGAACACACACACACACACACACACAACTTACAACTTACACTGTTAGGTACATTTGTGAAATCTAATTTAATTCAGGGGAAAATGGCAATAACAACAGTTTCATTGTTTCAGTGTTTTTGGAGAAGTCATATGTATGCAGGGGAAAAGCTGTAAGCTCCAGGACACTACCCTGCCTTGTTAAGGGAAATCTTCTCTGCTTTCACTGGTCCAGCTATGCCAGGGGGAGCGCCAGAGTCACTGGATGCCAGCTGCCTCAGTGCAGAACGTTCTTCCCACCTCTTGCAAGGCAGCACTCCAGCTTCCTCTTGTGGGATGGTGTCTTTCATTGCCTCCTACAGGAGGAGAAAATTGCATGCTAGTATTTACTATCAAATAAGAAGTAAGAGAAGATATGGTCAGTTGCAGTCACTAAGCTCAAGTTGCATGGGGACTTGAACAAAACAACACAAGTATATTTCAGCAGTTAGCAGAGGAGACATCAGATCGAGGATCAGTGCAAAACTAAAAGCGAAACTTGCTGGGAGATAACTAAGTGGCACTCTTTAATGACCACCCAATTCACACTACCTAGTTGGGCATCCCAAGTCTGACAAGGGCAGAGTCAGTTCTAGTGGCAAGATTTGACAGGGTATCCTCCTCAGCCTACTTTGCTAAGATAGAAATTTGATTATCTTTGGCAACTAGGACATGGGAAAGTGATTTCTTTCAATCCATAAGGATTCCCCTTTATACTTATTTTTCATCTTATTCAGCTCACCTGTGGGCATCTGCCCTCTATAGATTTACAACATCCAGAGCCCACAAGGGGAGATGAAGAATCGAAAAGAAGGATTCCGTGACTGGGATGTGCAGGAGCTAGACAAGCCATCAGTAGCGCATCGGGGTTAGTCAGGCTCACAAGAGCTCAGCGCCTTTGAACTGAGGCAGAAAGTTTGGGTGACGCCCAGCACATAGAGCTGAGGTAGAGGGAGATCCTGGATTGGAAGAGGCACATGCCAAGCAGGACGGCCATTGGGGCCCAAACGAGGTGCAGAGCTCGAGGTCATGTGTGGCAGTTTCTCACATCCTGCAGAGAGTGCAGCACACATGGACTTTAGCTCCTTTGAAATTCAAGTATTTGAAGAAGCTACTTCACATGTACGTATGGAATGTGTATCATGTTGATGGGGAAATTGCTTTTTTCCAGTTGCCATTTTCTGAAAACCCACATTCAACCACTGTCCCAAACTTTTTAAATATAAAAATGTTCTCTAAAATCTAATAATGTGGACCCTTAGCTTATATACTTGATTTCTCCACAAGGGTTGGATGTAACTTAACTTGGATGTAGGTCAACACTCCTTTTCCCCTAAGAAATAACGGAAATGCCCACAATGTATTCCAAATCTCTAAAGCACCCCTTAACTAAGTTCTTCATAATAAAAGCAAAGATTATATAATGTGTGTTCTTTACCAGAAGCACCAGTAGCTTTCCTCTTATACTCACGAAAATGTTATAAAATGTGCTTCCTTTAGCAGAAAGAATAACTTCATCCTGTACTCAGCATTCAAGTTAACATCTTTGACTTGCAGGGAGGGAGGAGGAAATGGAAGGTGGTTATCGTTTGGTGGGACAGGCCAGACCCTTCCCCTAAGAACCTCGGGACGCTGGCTGTCCAGGAGCGCTTCCTCTGCTTCTAGAGTCTGTAGCCATCAGGACTGCTTCCAGCTTGCTAGATCTTAACCTTGTCTGAATCACAGACTGGCCTATGGTTGTTTTCTGTCTTTTCTTTAGCACTGTTATTTTCCATTAGGGTTGTCTTCTTTATATTCTTTTTCTTCTTTAGCTTTTTTTCTAGCTTTAAGGCAACATTTTTTTTTAATTTTATTTATTTTGTGTGTGTGTGTGTGTGTGTGTGTGTGTGTGTGTGGCCAGCTCAGCCCACCAGGGGGCGGGGCTGGCTGGCATGTGGTGCTGGGGGATTGAACCGTGGTCACTTTGCTTTGCTAAGCTTGTTCTAAGTAGGTGCTTTAGACCACTGAGCCATCTCACCAGCCCTTTTTTTTTTTTTAATTTTATTTAAGGGCAACATTTTTGATAGACATAATTGCGGTAATTATATTACAGCACTGACTAAAATCATGTTCACAAAAACGTACTTCTAGGCTCAGATTGGCTTATGCACACTTACATATGATGTTCTGGAACTGCAGGTCTTTGTTTACAACTGCATAAGTGTTTGGGTCTTAAATCTTACTTTGGTCCTAAGTTAAATCAAAAATTCTGTTCATAACCCAAGGTGTTTTTTGTTTTTTGTGTTTTGTTTTTTAAATTTTGTGGTACTGGGGATTAAACTCAGAACTCTGCGCTTGCCAGGCAAGCACTTATTATACCGAGCTATCTCCCTGGCCCTCCAAGTTATTTGTATGCCAGGCCGGTCATAACTGAGGGTTCACTTCGTGCATGACGTAAATCATATGACAGGGCACATTAGCCCTGAACCCACGTTTATCAGCATCGTCAGGTGCTGAGGGTCGTATCATTGCCTACAGGCACAGCTGGGATGGCACTGGCTTCCTTCATTCCCCAGTACCCTGACATTAATCACTAATGTGGTGTAAACAATTATACTGTGAATGTCAGGCAATTGGCATTCATGTGTTAAATGTAGGAATGGAGAGATGAGAATGCACCTAGGAATCCAGTTAACTTTAGTTGTATGGACATTTGCTCATAAAGATGAGAGATCATAGAATAATTTTAGACTGTTTCATTGGGGAAGGTGCACACTTTACAATCAGTTCTGTCTTTCAGGCAGTAACTTCAGGTGAATAATTTTATTACTTCAGACACTGAGCTTGGTGCTGATAACTTAGAAGTTGAATTTTTCTGTCTCCTCTTTGGTGTTTCTGGGAATATAATTCGGGACCTTTCTTGTGCCACATAAGTGCTCTGTTAGTGTGCTCATCCACAACCTTTGCATGTTTTCATACTAGGACAGGAACCCACTGAGTTGCTGAGGCTGGCCTTAAAGTGACAACCCCCATCCTGCAGCCTCCCTACGGTTATAGGGCGTGAGTCTCAACACCCAAAAGCCAGGGCTTATTTTTAAGGAAATTCCAGTCTAATAAAATACTTCATTCCCCAGTACCCTGACATTAATCACTAATGTGGTGTAAACAAACTATTTATCTTTGCATATCAGTTAACAACACAGTAACTATGTGTTATCTAAAACATGTAACATAAACATATTAAGACAATATTTTTGTAAAGAAGTGATGTCATGGGGCAGGCAAGATAGCTCAGTGGACTAAACTCCTGCTTAGGCAAGCACAGGGACCGGGATTCTATCCTCAGCACCACATGTTGCACCAGCCCAGTTCCCAGGCTTCCTAAGCCAGCCACCAAGACCGAGTATGGTGATGCACACCTGTAATCCCAGCACTGGGGAGGCTGAAAAACAGAAGGCTTACTATGAGTGTGATCTGCTTAGTGAAACTCTGTACCAAATAAATAATAAATAGACAAATAAATAAATAGAAGTAATGTCACAGAAAATGAATATAAATTAAACGCCAGATCAAACAACTCCAAAATTTGCTAAGTATTTTTAGTCATTAATATTAAGCAGTCTCCTAACAAGAAAGAACTTGTATTTTACTGCTTTAAGAATGCTTACATACTATTCTGCTTAGGGAATCAGGTCTTCTAGAATCACATTGCTTCCTGCTTATTTTCTCCAAGGTCTCACATAGGTAATTATGAGACCATTCATGTATCCTATACATAGTCATATAAGGGTATAGTCCTGTCTGTCTAGACTGGTTAGCCTGCGGAGATGAAGTTAATTTTCTCTCTCTGCATCGTGTCCTTCCTTTTCTGTGTTGAACCATATTCCTTTGGCACAACTCTTTGCTTTCCAATTTATCACATTCTTTTGTGACACTCTCCCTTCTGAATAAGCAACATAGCCTATATGCTTTTACAGTGGGGCTTAGTCAATCACAACATGAGAAGCAAGGGAGAATTGGAATATCACTTTTCCCCAAGGTAGCAGTGGAGAGAATATTGCTTTTGCAGTCAGGTGAAGCCAAATGATGACACTAGTGACTTGTGTCCTTGTGTGACTTTTGTAGCTTCTTGCACACTGGCATTTTTGCAGAGCTGCATTCAGGGGTTATTTAAACAACATATGTGAAATGTGAGAAGCTGGGTAAGTGCAAGTGAATACTAGTATTGATGCTTTGACGTGTGGTAGTTGGGAGTGCTCATCCCGAAGGTTAGGTGGTAAAAGAAACAGGGACCATGGGCTGGCCAGATAGCTTGGTGGATTAAAGCACTTGCTTAGGCAGAGTCAGGGACTGGGGTTCGATCCCTGGCGTGCTGTGCCGAACCTGTGGACCCTGTACTAAATACATTGTTTTTAAAAAAGAAAGAAACAGGGATCTTCATAGGGAGCAACCTGTTTTACCAACAGTAAATCAGAATCTTCCATTGAATCTTCCAAAATAGTTCAGTATGATGCTTTTTATCCAAAAATGTGAGCTGCAAGCTAAAGGGAGAAGATGCCTTTTTTGTCCACCCCAGGCTCAGTGGAGGGAAACACATCAAATGAAGCTAAAAAGGCAATCAGCTCACATATATAAATTGTTATAAGATCCTGGTACTTCTATCACTTCATTTTAACTTTCAGGCCAAATAAAAACAGGATTTTA